GGATTACCAGCCTACCATCCACACTGCCAGAGAAGCTAGTAAACAAGGAGGACCCTAAAAGAGGCAAACATTGTCCCCTGGAGAAGGGGAAAGGGTCAAGATCCCCTGAGCAAATTGAGAGCACTGGAAGAGGGGGGAGGGAGCTAGGAGAATGAGAAGGGGAGAAGAGGAAGGATGCAGAGGTCATGAGGGAGCAGAAAGGTTGAGTCAGGTGAAGAATAGAAGAAAGGGTATGGGATAGGCAGGGTTTTAGTTGGGGGGTGGTAGGGGAGGAAGGGAGAGAGAAGGGAACTGATATTGTCATGTAAATCAATCTTATTTCTAATTCAAATAAAAAAAGATTTAAAAGAAAGAAAGAAAGAAAGAAAGAAAGAAAGAAAGAAAGAAAGAAAGACAAAATCCTCTCTGCACCCACAGCTCCCACATTGGGAATGAGAAAAACAGCCTTTCACTTTGAACTCTGCTCTGACAGCTTTAAGGATGTCGGGGTAATCAGTGACATAGAAAGGACATTTTCCCCCACAGATGTGTGTTCATGTGATTGTTAGAGGCTACACTTGCTTTGTGGAATTGAATATACTACCTGCTGCAGTCTGTGGGGTGAGGTGAAAGCATCCTTGATAACTGTGGGTTTTTTGTTTTTATTTTTTTGAAGCAGGGTTTCTCTGTGTAACAACTTTGACTGTCCTGGAACTAGCTCTGTAGACCACACTGGCCCTGAACTCAAAGATCTTCCTGCCTCTGCCTCCCAAGTGCTGGGATTAAAGGCGTGCGTCACCACTGCCTGGCTTCCCCTGTGTGTTCTGGTGCTTTAGTTTGCTGCACATCATATTATAACTTCTTTTTCATTGCTCTTGTAGGAGTTGGGAGCCGTATCACTGGATGGCTACTTTCATCTCTGGAAGGCTGAAAATACATTGTCTAAGGTGTGAACATGACTTCGTAGTTGTATATGATAATTTACCATAGGTTTATAATACTATCATTCTCCCAGAGTCCTGTTGGATTTGTTCAAAACATCATTTCTCCCAAGGTCTGGAAATAGAATTGCATAGTACATGAAGCTGTGGGTCTGGCATGTTTCTCTTGAGGAAAAATCTGGCTATCTTTTAAATTTATTTTTGAGACATGATCTGTCTATGTAGCCCGGTCTAGTCTTAAAATTGTGATCTTCCCACTTGTAAAATACCTCTCAAAGACTGGAAATACTGAATGCTACCAACATGCTTAAGCAAGAAAAGGCCTTTGTTTATTATGTCTCAAGACAGGGTTTCTCTATGTAGCCCTCTCTGGCTATCCTGGAACTCACTCTGTAGACCAGGCTGGCCTGGAACTCAGAGATCTGCCTGCTTCTGCCTCCCAAGTACTGGAATTAAAGGCTTGTGACATCACAACCCAGCATCTAAATATGTTTGTTTGTTTTGTTTTTCTTTCTTAAAAGGTTAGCTCACTAGGTAGCCCTGGCTTGTCTAGGACTTGGGATCTTCTCTCAGCCTCAGTGATAGAGTCACAGGAAAGTCTTTTAAAAAGAGCTGAGATTGCAATAACACAATTTAGGAGAAAACAGATTTATCAATAATATCTGCTAGCAGCTTTTTTATACAATAAAGTGTATATGTGGGTCATGAGTTCATGTCTTGTCTGCGCTACTTATAATATCTGTGACAAGCGTTTTCTAAAGAGAAAGCAAAGCTCTGGGAGTGGATAGTTCCATTGGGTCATAGCAGGTTTGCACTCCACTGGCCCTACATAGCGTCTTACATACAGCAGGCGGACACTGTTTGCTACTTCACAGGGTCAAAGATGCAGGCTGACTCAGATTAACTAGGATAGAGTCAGTCCTGGGGGGTACACTGTCTCTAGTGTACAGTTCTCTTTTCTTTGGGAAATTGGCTGAGGGTGGTTAGAAATTAGTCCCTTTATCTGAAGAGAACAAGGAGTAGTGGTCATGTCGCAGAATGAACAAGGTGAGACTTAGGCTTTAGTGCCCTGGGCTTGTTCCTGGAGATAACTATAGTTCTTGCCTTTCCTGGCATTCTAATTATTTAATTCCAGCCTTCTGTTTTTCCTAATCCAGAACTTACTTCATTTACTTTGTCTTGTCACTAGCTTAGGTAGGTAATTCATGTGCAAAGGAAGCCCACAGAGGTAGGAGCACAAGAATGCCCATTTTATGCTGGTTATGAATGTATCTCTTTGCAGCTCTTTTCCACCAAATTGCCATATTGTCGAGAGAATGTATGTCTGGCTTATGGTAGTGAATGGTCAGTGTATGCAGTGGGCTCTCAAGCGCATGTCTCATTCTTGGATCCACGGCAGCCATCGTCCAACGTCAAGTCTGTCTGCTCCAGGGAGAGAGGCAGTGGTAAGTCCCTGTGTGTTCCTTCAGGCTTACTGCTACATTGCAAATGGGTTTTCACCTTTTGTTTCTTCTTTGACTTCCAAATAAGAACAGTATGTAGCATGTAGAAGTATTTGGTGACAGACGAGAGAAACTTAATTACATACATGAGGCAACAGAATGTCCAGGCTGTAGAAACCTCTGGTAGAACCACTGTGAGGAGATAAGCAGTTAGTTAGCACTACTCCCCTGGGATCTTTTTGTTGGGTCCCTGCCTGAGCTAAAATTCTTATATACTGAACAGCACTAGGGGAGGAATTAGAAGAGTATGAGGTCACTTTTGGATGTGATGATAAATATGTAGTGTAAGGGACAGCTACACCTCAAGAAGATGAAGAAAGTACTTGTTTTAGTTCTGATCAGTGGTTGTAAGGTCTCAGTACCTAACACTGGATTGTTGCTGGGAACCAAACCCAGGGCTCTGTGCTTGCTTGAACTGCTCTGCTTCTGAGCTACACCAATAGACCCCAGCTTCTATTCATATAGCATATTCTAAGAGCCATCACTCACTTTCTTTAGTGGAAGAGACTTGTGCTGGCACTACATTAAGGGTTCAGAATACTGTTTTCAAAGAACTCTTTCCTTCCCACCAAGAATTCTGTGGAAAGCAGATTAGATTAAGACTACTTTCTGTCCTTCCAGGGAACCTGAGTTCAGGTTCCAGCACTCACATGAAATGGCTCACACCTTCCTGTAACTTCAACACCAAGGGATCTGTCACCCTCTTCTGGCTTCCATGGCCAACAGCACTCCTATGCACATACTTTTACACACACACACACACACACACACACACTTTTTAAAAACTTAAAAGCCAAAGAGGTACACACCTTTTTTTTTCCCTTAATGTGCATTGATTTTTTTTTTTTTCTTTGCCTGCATGTGTGTCTGTGTAAGTCACAGATCCTCTGGAACTGGAGTTATAAACAGTTTTGAGCAATCGTGTGGGTGCTGGGAATTGAACCTGGTTCCACTGGGAGGGTAGCCAGTGCTCTTAACCACTGAGCCATTTCTCCAGCCCCTGGTGCACACCTTTAATCCCAGCATTTAGGAGGCAAAAATCAAGCAAAACTCCTTGAGCACTAGGCCAGCCTGGTCTACAGAGTGAGTTCCAGGACAGCCAGGGCTGCATAGAGAAACTCTGTCTTGAAAAACAAATAACAAGCAAAGATAGTGTTATTTCTGTGTAGATATTACAAAAGCAGCTTTTGTGTTTTTGTTTTTCTGTTTATTGCTGGGGAAGGTGGGTGCCGTGATGCTAATTGGAAGTCACAGAACAGTTTGAGGGAGTTGGTTCTCTCCTTCCATGGCAGTTCCCAGGAATCAAACTTAGGTGGTCAGCCTTGACAGCAAGCGTCCTGACTGCTGAGCCATCTCACCAACCCTAGGATTTATTTGTAAGTAGTTAAGATGTATATTTAGACTAGAGAACAGTGGATATAATGAAAGCTGGAGAAGGAGTAAGATTTCGCTGGGATGGTGTGCAATGAAAGGTTTTATTTATTGTCATCATCATTGTTATAATTGCTTTCTTTTTGAGACAAGGTCTTACTAAGCACCCTTGGCTAGCCTGGAGTTTGCTGTGTGTGGACTAGGCTGGCCTTGAATTCACAAGAGATCTGTTTCCCTCCTCCCCTGTACTGGAATTAAAGGCATACACCACCATGCCCAGTTTTTAAAGGGTTCAGTTACTAATAATGGAGGTAGCTTGCATAAAGAAATACTGGTTCACAGTAACTACGCCTTTAATCCCAGCACTCGGGAGGCAGAGGCAGGCAGATCTCTGTGAGTTTGAGGCCAGCCTGGTCTCCACAGCTAGTGCCAAGATAGGCTCCAAAGCTACACAGAGAAACCCTGTCTCGAAAAACCAAAAAAAAAAAAAAAATATTGGTTTACAAAGGTCCCTGGCTCCACATAGATGCCAAGAGAAACCAGTATCCCATGTACTTATGTAATCCACAGGTGCAGCAAATGTATTTTCCCTTTAATCCAAAGTAGTTGGTAACTTGACATAAATAACATAGTACCAAATACTTCCTGTAGGGCCATGCTGGTAATACAAAGATAATAGTGAGCTGCAATGTAATAACGTGTGATGGAGAATAACTAATAGCTATGAACAATGACTCCAGTGCTAATCAAGCGTATGACACACAGAGAATTTCAGAAAACAACGTGGATATTCCCAGTAATCTGGCTGGTTATCAGAGAGTCCTGTTAGTCACCATAAATTCTGTTGCGCCATTGGCATAGTTCTATCTGATAATCTGGGTTGTACTATCCCTATGACTGCTCTGTGCTTTTCTTTTTCAGGGATCCGATCAGTGAGCTTCTATGAACACATTATCACTGTGGGCACAGGGCAGGGCTCCCTGCTCTTCTATGATATCCGAGCACAGAGATTTCTGGAAGAGAGACTCTCAGCTTGTTATGGGTCTAAGCCCAGGCTCACAGGGGAGAATCTGAAACTAACTACTGGCAAGGGCTGGCTGGTAAGTAAGCTCCAACCTGAGGTTGCTTAACAGGGAGGGGAAACTGTCTTCCCTCTGCTTACCCCTCCTCACTAACTCTCTTGCTGCTGACATTCCTTAGAGCAGAGAAAAGCACTCTCCTCTCACTTTGCCTTTGTGTCTGCATATTGGCTGTGGGGGAAAAGAGGTTGGCAGTGGTGATAAATGCTTGTAATCTCAGTATTCTATAAACTGAAGGAGGATTGTAACACCAAAATGAAAGACACAGTAAAATATGCTGGTGCCTTGAGAATTTTTCCAAGTGGCAACAGCAGGAAGGGAAAGGAACTTCCTGTTGTTGCTGCCAGTGAGTTGTCGTTAACAAGTTTGATTCCGAAAAGCTGAAGGTGAAAACTTGCTTTCAGTGAAATAATTCTTTATCCTGTTTAGTTGGGAAAATGAGGTCACTTTTCATGAGAACCAATAATCATGTGAAATCAGGTGGTAGGCATGGAACCCTTTCCTCAGGCAGAGACCGGAAGGCATTCCTCCCCTTCCTGCTCTTTCCTAGTGGCGCTAACGGTCTCCTTCTCTCCCATAGAATCATGATGAAACCTGGAGGAATTACTTTTCGGACATTGATTTCTTCCCCAATGCTGTTTACACCCACTGCTACGACTCGTCCGGAACGAAGCTCTTTGTGGCAGGAGGTCCCCTCCCTTCTGGGCTCCATGGAAACTATGCTGGACTGTGGAGTTAATGACAACTAACTTTCTCCCAAAATGCAGATTTACACTAACTTCCACCCTCGGTTTCCTTGTTTGGTCTTTTGATTCCCCCACTGTGGAAGCTTTCCTGTATAGTGCAGACAGCAGTTTGCCGTGGCTGGGGCAGTTACTAGGAGGAAGCTATGCAGAAATCCAAAAGGTGGGGCTTTTCTTTGGTTGGTTAGTGGTTTGTTGCTTTGGGTTTTTCATTGGTTTGTTTGGTAGATGTTTTTGTTGTTTGTTTGCCCTTTCAGTAATCAGAATTTTACACACACACACACACACCCGCTTTCTCAACCAGACATTGTTACAAATCCCCCCCCCCCCATTTTTTTTTTTTCCTTAAGTGATATACATCTCCCTTCTCTGGCTTCTTTACACTGAAACGACAAGGTCATCCTCACCCTTCCTTCACTTGAGAGGTAGGGCCCCTTATAATTGTGTGGTAGCTGTCAGACTTTCTGTGAAAGTTTGGGAGCCTTGTGCGTGTGCGTGTGAACTTGTGTGCCTGATGGTACTGTGTCACTGATACTACTCAGCGTGAGGATTATCTGTATTAAAGTATTTATAAAAGAAACAATTTTACTCAGAGGCTTTGGGACTAGCCTGTATCTTTTTAAAAGGCTGACATTGTAGGAAGTGAAAGCGTAGAGAAACAAATCCCACCAGGAAAACCTTGAGTTAGAGTAGCAGGCTTGGAGCAGGAGGGTAGGCTCCATGCCAGGATTCTAAAGTGATCCACCCCTGCCTGTCCTTCCTACCTGTGTATCCCCAAGTAAGAATGCCTGTGTATGTGTTGTCCCTTCCTACCTGTGTATCCCCAAGTAAGAATGCCTGTGTATGTGCGTGTGACTTCCTACCTGTGTATCCCCACGTAAGAATGTCTGTGTGTGTGTGTGACTTCCACTTCCTAACCTCTTGTCTGCTTAGCCCAGGTGCCTCTTTGGGGACTGCAGAAGGCTTCCTGGTGTAGGTAAAGAGTATCCTCTTCCAGTCTCCTTCTGCCTCTGCTCCGGGTCTCATCTGGCCTAGAGCAGGGTGTCTCAAGCTAGACGTGGCTGCCATTCATAGTCTCCTAGGACTTCTAGGAGGAACTATTCCATTCTTGGGGTTCTGCTGGTATTTTCTAATTGGGTTCTGTCTAGGAAGGTATGATTTGTAGCGAGTACTTTATATGTGGGATATGTTTTCTCAATACAGTGGAGCTTAGCATTGGAAGTCACCCTCCTGCTCTGTTGGTTCATACCTGGGGTAGCGACAGGGTGGCTGTGATAGCGTCACTGCATGTGACAGCAAAGGTGTGATTCGTACTTCGCTTGTTCATCTCTTGAACTTTGTTTAGTCTGAGGCTTTTTAACTTACAGGCAACTGAGCATCGTGCCAGCTGTTCCCTTTCACACATCATGTCGAAAGGAACCTTTCCCTACCCCACCTTCTCTGAAACACGCAGTGCTATTCTAGCAGTGCCCGGTCCTGAGAAATGGAGTCATAGTCCTACATCCAGTTTCTCAGTTGCTCCCCGTTCTTCCCGTTTTCTCCTTGTGTCAAAATAGTGTCCTCATCATGGCAGGGGTTGCTGGGGAGGGAAGCAGCAGCAAGCCCACTTGATAGTGTAAGTACACAGCATATGCCACAGGTTTTAGAATAATCATCCCATAATCTAGATAAATAGGTGCTATGAACAGGAAATTAAGAAAAATGCTGGATGCTATGAATCTTTTGTCTCAATTTTTTTCTATTATTAAACTACAAGCTGTAGATTTCTTAGTTCTCACAGAACTTGTCGTTTTAAAACTGACTTGTATATTTACAAAACAAAAATCTTGAGTAGGATGCTTTGTGCCGTGGCCAGACCGTCTCCTGTGATGCGTTTGTTTGAGATTTTCTGTTTTAAAAATGTAGCATTTGACTTTTTGCCAAGGAAAAATAAATACTGTCCTAGTGCAGTGCTGTTTGAGTGAATATATATGGCAAGGAAGCTGCAGGGAAGAGACCCCAAAGGATTGGTTGAGGGCATGCTGGGATTTGTCCAGGTTAGAATACCTTCCTAGAGTGACTTGCTCCTGCTCCCAAGCTCTGGGGCAATACTGGTGTCTCTGGGGTACAGATGAGGGTGGCTGTGCCCAGGGGAAGTAGTGTAGTGCCTGAAAGAAACAAAACACTGACTAGCTCTAGGATAAGTCAGGATCAATGATGGGTCCTATCTGCCCCAAGAATGATGGGAAGTGGCTTCATAGTGGCCTTTTTTTGTAATTGGAGCCATGGATCTTCAATGTTCTTTATAAGGTAGGACACAGTGGCTATAGTAAAAGATGGTCTTCCCAAAGCTGGGGGTGGGGGTGGGGGAGAAGACTGCTAAGTCATACCAGCTTCATGTAGCTAACTGTGGGAGACCCAGGAGCACTAGAGCACTGAGCCTAAAAAGTAATGCCTAATCCTCTGCCACATGGTGTTTAACTAACTGCTTTCGAGGGGGAAAAAAGCTACAGTTGATGTTCACATTTGCACTATAGGCTAATTCAGACCAAACTCATGTTGGGACCTCAATGGTCAAAGATTGCAAGATGGAAAAGGATATGAGGATTAGTTGAAGCAAGTTGAGAATATTCCTAGAAAAGAATGACATTTGGACAGGGCCTGGAACCAGCCTCTCCTAAAATGAATTGGAGTACAAGATCCTGAACAACGTTGGTGTTTGTATAATATTCTATTGTGTGGAGGAAATGAAGAATAAAACAAACATCTGGGTTGGATAGATGGCTCTATAGTTAAGAGCATTTGTTGCTCTTGCAGAGGACCTAAATTTGGTTCCCATAGTGTTTCACAACCATCTGTAACTCCAGTTCCAGGGGATCTGAAACCCTCTTCTGACCTCTGAGGACAGCAGGCATTCACATGTCACATACACACATATATATGCAGGTAAAACACTCATGCACATAAAAAAAACTTAATTTCTTTTTAAAAATTACCTTTTAGAAATGATCACTGATGGGCTGGTGAGATTGCTTAGCTATTAAGAGCACTGGCTGCTCTCAGAGGACCAGGGTTAATTCCCAGCACCCACATGACAGCTCACAATTGCCTTATCCCCTGTCCCAGGACAATCTAATGTCCTTTTCTGGCCTCTGCTGTGTATTGCATATACGTAGTGTACAGACATACATGCACAAGCAGGCAAAATACACATAAAAATAAGTGTTAAAAAGATTTACAAAAAAAAAATGATCACTGGGGGACTGAAGAGATGGCTTACTGGTTTACAAAACTGGCGGCTCTTCCGGAGGACCTGAGTTCAAATCCCAGCACCCACATGGCAGCTCACAACTGTCTGTAACTTTAGTTCCAGGGGTTCCAACACCCTCACACAGACATACATGCTGGCAAAACACCAATGTACATAAAGATTAATAAGTCTTTTGAAAAGAGCACTGTTTTTATGAGATGGCCTTGGCACTGATCTCACTATCTAGCCAAGAATGACCTTGAAGTCTGATTTTCCTGGCTCCTTTTTTTTTTTTTTTTTTTTTTTTTTTTTTTTTTTTTT